GCGGCGAGTCACACACAGTGACAGCAACGTCAGCAGAAATCTCAACAACCCCACAAAGGTCCTGGACAGTACTGACAAGCGATTTGACATTCATTTTAGAATGTGGACAGCTTTAACTGGTGACTGAAACATCATAAAACAGTCTAAAATCATAATAATTCATTATGGAGCAGGACAGAGACGCTTTGATTTGCAAGAATCTTCATGAATATCTATTTGAAACTGCCAAATGAGACCACATACTGACCAAAAAATATTTGACTTCAAGCGATGGCACAATCTGCTTTCACAGATCTTACACATTTCACTGTTTGGTTTCATCAAATAAGCTCCTCACAGATAAAAGAACATGAAACACTTGCTTTGGAAAGATACTCTTGCAACACTGCTCACATCAGGCTGTAATACAAATGTCTCACAAATTAAGGATTTCCAGCAAATGTACTTGAGCTCACATAAAGAATCGAAATCGAGGTTATCTGGCTTTTTTTTGACACATTGGAGTTAATTTGTATACAGCAAATGAATCATTGCACCACAAAGAGTAATACTGACAAAAACAACATCCAATTTCACTCTTTACAGTCAACTGTATATATTCAAAGTTGCCAAATTCCTTTATTTGTAAGTTGTATTTACCTTCTGAACGCTGAAATGAACAGTGATTTTAAGTAAGAACTTCATATCGACTGTCTTTCCCACAGGACCTGAATGCAGCATTAGATTCTGGGGCTGATGTTTGTGCTGCTGCCTTCAATCATGCACAAACACACACACAGACACAAATCACACCCCACCCTACACTGATCATCATCCCGGGCCAGTACTGCTCCGCTGCTGCCATGAATCTGCTGCTGCTAAATATAGCAATCCCATTTTGATGATGCAGCGGTGACTGTAGGGAGAATTCAAAACCCCCACTCTACCCCCCCCTCCGCCTCTCAATGCTGCAATTAGCCCTAATAAACTGAGAGTACGTTCATGATGCATGGAGGAGTACCCCCCCCCCCCCTCCTTCCTCCTCCTAATTACTATGAATGGGGTCTTTGCAACGGGACAGATGTGATCTGTTTATGAGGAGAAAGTGAGAGAGAGAGCAACATAGCTTTACAGATACAGTGAGACAGAAATATGGATAGAGGGTGTGTGAGTGGGGGGGTATCCCCATGAGAACCATCGTCTGGATGGGCATCGTCTACACGGGGATCAATACACACAGTATATAAACCCTCACAGATTACCATGGGCTATGGGTAATTTTGACCTCATTTAACACACAGCAGTTTGAGCACTCTGCAGCTAAACTCATCCCTAAACTTCACCTTCCTTCAAATCAAAGGAAACATGTTTAAGACAGACAATCACTTTCTACATCACACCAGGTAGAGAAAAATGTTAATGACGCAGCCTCTGTCTTCCAAACACTCTGACAGCCTTTTAACACCAGACAGAACCATCACTCTGGTATGGTGGAATAGTCGCAGACAGTGTAATGATTAATAGAGAGGAAGACATAGCGACTCGCTAAGAGATAGGTGGATGGAGGTAAACGACAGAAGAAAAGAAATAAGGAGAAACAAGAGAGAGGGCAAAGCTGAAGTAGGACAGAGCGCAGGGGAGGCCTGTCTGTCCCAGATCAGTAGTCTCTACCGCCGGCAAGTAAGAGGGAGAAGGAATGAGTGACGAAAAAAGAGAGAAAGCAGTAAGAGCATAAGCGAGATGGCTAAATCTGGAGTTATGATCTACATCTCCCCCTGAGCAGCATAGCAAATATTGAAAAAGAGTTAAGCTCCACTCCCTGCACTTGTGCAAATATAACAGGAGAGTGACTGAATTCTATGAAGGCACAAAATCTCAGAGAAAATAAGGCTTTGACGATGGGACTTTGACAAGTAGCGACTGAACAATCAGTCCAAAAGACCCAATATTTACCTTCTGACTCTCTTGGCCCCTGTGGAAGAGGATTCTGAATATACATGGCTTGAAATAAGACAATTAGTTTCCGAATTCCTAAATCAACATGTATCTTCGTCAAGGCCTGTTTTTCCTCGTCCAGACAGGTAAGCTTAGTGTCCTGAAAAATCACCACTTGAATGAGAGGCAAGAAAAGATTCTGGTCCTCTGATTCCTGAAGAGGGAACTGCACGGGTGGAAATGTCAACTGTGTGTTGTGTCCCCTGTGTGTGTAGTGGAAACTAAAGTGTGGCGCTCCATAACACTTTCTGACCAAGAAGGAATTAATGGTATTTCCCTGCTAACGTGGGATGAATTTTAATTCATCTGCTCGGGTGGCAAATCATGGCTGTCTGCTGGACCTTGACTTAATTTCTTTGTGCCACACACCATCTGAAGTACAAACGACATGACAGTCAGTTAATCAACTCTCAACAGCGGCTGCATCAGCCCGTTGAACCAGATCAACTCCAAATTAATTGAGCTCCCAGGGAGTCAAACAAAACTGTACTGGACTCAGCTAAGCTGGGCCGAACCCCTGGACCTTGTCACACGGACAGACTACAGTTTAATGCCGAGTTGTGTTTCTCCTATCATTCAAAGGCATTCAACTTTATATAAATCTGACTGTCCTGATGTCCAGACATGCAGTCATCCCCATTGTAGGATTGGTAGAAACACACTATGGGTTTGGTTTTCTGTATGTTATTTTAACGGGGAAAATGAAGGCAATCTTAAAATGAATTTAAAACTTTTAATTGAATTGAAATAGAACAACCTCACACATCTGCATCGAGAGAACATGAACAGGAAAAATCATATAACTGCATTTTTTTATCCTTATCTAACATATGGAGAACAACACAAAAACAATAATACTAAAGTAATCCTTATGTCAGTCACTCATTTTCTGTCATGTATGACAACCAACTAAGAGAATGTGACAAGCATCACCAACTGAGATTGTTTGTTAGCGACTAAGCTGACAACCACATGTTGTATCCTAGCTAAGACTTTCTAGCTCTCCCTTTATAGTTTAATGGTAATACTTGTTTTATTATAAACCTAAAAGCCTAGAAGAGAAACACAGAGGAGCTGGATATTTCTATTTTGACATGAAAAACACTAAAAGTCCTCTCCCCTCAATCGTCTTACACCTGAAATAACCCTAGGTGACCTCTGACCCCCTATTCTGAAACTTTTTACTACTTTCCATCACAAAAATATATATATATATATATATATATATATATATATAAATTATACATACACATATATATATGTATACGTATATATATATACATATATACATATACATATATACATATATACATATACACATATATATACACATATATATACACATATATATACACATATATATACACATATATATACACATATATATACACATATATATACACATATATATACACATATATATACACACATATATATACATATATATATACACATGTATATATACACACACATATATATATAAGCGACAGCTTGACATCAGAATGTGAAGAGTGTGTTTGAACTTAGTCTTTGCTTTGAGTGGTGCTCTGAGTCATATATGTTGCACACCAGTGCTTAACAGAATAAGCACTTCAGTGTTACACATCAACACAGACTGTACGCTTCTCCAAATCCACCATTAATAAACTGATGGTAGTGTTAGTTTCCCCTGTTACAAATTGCCCTCATGGTGTGTAGTGGTGGCTGTCCTCTCTGATGATCTGCTCTGCCATCGTCTACCTCCATGTGCCTGAGGCGACACATACCATACAGAGCATGAATAGCATGTGCGCGTTACTATGACTGTGTGTGTGTGTGGGCGATGTGAAACCGAGGCTGAACACACGGTCACGTCTCTTGCGCTTGAGCGCCTCAGACAACAAGTTATTCACAGTTTTACTTTAAATTCTGCTACATTATGCTGAAATCCTCCTCGCAGCTCTGTGCAACACTGCAATACAGAAGCTTGTGTGTAATTACGTGTGCCCTGTAAAGTGACCTGGCATCACCTTCCTGTGGGCTGTGTTCAATAGAGACAAAGGCATCTATAGATAGACTAAACTCAGGTGGACAGATAATGACGGGGGCAAACTGAACACATGTTCTCTGCTGGCAGGGTGACCCTTTTCCTGTAGAGACAGCTGCTCAAGAGAGGAGACAGCAGTTTGAGCATCCACTATCAAATTTGTTTAACGCTTGGCAGAACACTTATCTGCTCCCGAGTGCATTATTCCACACCATATTTAATGCTAAGGTGCATCTATGTCCATGCTCGTCCATGCATACCCTGCCTTACACGCTACGGTCAATGTCATGTCCGGGTAGATTTACTGGGTGATTTTATGCACTGGTTACCCTTTTAATGTGAACACTGAGCGGTGAGCCGTTCACCAGACCATCAGAAATGTATGTGGGAGGGATTATCAGTTTGACACCACGATAAAAACCAAGCGCTGACAAGTATCATCACTCATACATCTACATGTCTGTTATTACTGACGGTGCTGATTCCCTGTCTTGTCTTGACTTGTCGTGCCTCGTCTACAGATCTGTGTCCCTCCTCACAGCTGCCTCCTCTCCCACTTTCTCTCTTGTCCCCTCTTCTTCTGCCTCTCTGTAAAGCTGGGAAAGAGTATTCATCTGCTGGCATCAAGGAGGAATCCACCGCCAAACACTGCTTGGTTTGCCTTCCTTGTGTCTGTGCATCTCAAATTCATTCAGAGCTGTCTTGATTTTCATTTCAGCTGTTTATTTAGTGCAACTGCTGTATAACTTAATTCAAAGCTGCCATGTGAGAGAAGAGTTAATGCGTTACATCAATGCAGTAAACTTGAACATGCAAAACCCCCTCCCACCCCCTGCTGCACACACACACACACACACACCTCTTTCGACTCAACACTATCTCTCCACAAACATTAAATCGTATTCTTTCTGCTTTGCCATGCACCCCCCCCCCTCCATCCCCCATGCATGTCTCCTTGAAGGAAGAGAAAGCTGAAAAGCAGAAAAGAAAACATTCTTACTGTCTTCTACAATCCCTGATGAAATACAGAAATCCCTCCTCTGGAAAAAGGGGACAGAAGTAGAAAAGAGAGGAGGGGGAGCCCAGCGGTTGCCAGTTGCAGAGGAATAAGGAGTGAGGAGGGGCGAGCACGAAGATGATGAAGAAGGCTGTGGTTAAAAGGAGAGGGGAAAAGAAAAGACTGCTGCAACAATGAAGAATTTCCTCCTCAACAGCCGCCGCCGCCGCCACGAGAAATCACAAGGTGTCCGGCATGCCGCTGTACGCTGAGGAATGGAGCATTATCCTCGGCTCCCAGCCCATCCTCCAGCAGCAGCAGCAGCTCTGTAGTAACACTTCTATCCGCTCGGCATTCTCCCCATCCCTCACTCGCTATCCTCCCCTGCTCCCTCCCTTCAACATGTTCAGAGTCCCTCTCTCTCTGTTTTCCTCTCTCTCTCTCTCTCTCTTTCTTCTTGTATACTGGTTCGTGGGTTTCTCTCCCTCACCCCTCCCATACCTCTCGCTCTCTTTTGTCCCCCTTCCTCCCTCCCTCTCCTCTATCATTACCCGGATACAGGGCATACCCCTCCCTCCCTTTATCTCCCCCCCTCCCGCTCTCTGTGTGTCTTTGATGTTTTGGAGTTAGTCTCTTAGCTGTTAAAAACTCCATTTTTTTCATTCTCACAGAACTGAGAGCACCATAGAACACAGTGGGATCCACCCAGCGGTGCAGAGATACACACACACACACACACACACACACACATCAAAGATTGTCCAATAATTATTATGCAATATCAACAACAAAATCACACACATCAATTAGAGCAACATTTCTCATTTGTAACGTATTCCTTCCATAATGCAAAGATACAGAACAGCACAATCTGCAGTAGTTCAGCCAGAATGTGTATTCTCTCTCTCTCTCTCTTTCACACACATACACACAGACACACACAGAAATATGAATTAGGAATGAAAGAGATGTGTATAAGAGGAGGAGGAGGGAAGCCACTGCTGCAATGCTTATTACCATACGTAGAGGGGGGTGAGGGAGGGGAGGACTGTGGGTGGAAAGGGAGCCTTCTACTGACGAGCTGAACTGAATAGCAAGTAGAAATCAACTCCATTATACCAATCAGTAATGAGTGAAGCATGTCAAACTCGCCTCACAGCTTTGATGGGCTGAAACCTTTTTAATTGTTGGGGATGAGGATGAAGAGAAGGGGGCGGGGCATCAACAACGATCACAGAGAAAACGTGTTTTTCAGCAGTTACAATCACCCTCTTGTTGCTGAACTAAAAAGTCTGAGCTGGCCTGCTTGACACTCAGTTAGTTAGGAGCTGTTGTGGATCTTAAAGTGAAAAGACCGAAGAGAATACCATCTGCTGGATTTTCTCCCTGGCGGAAAACTGTCTGGTTACAGTTGACGTTGACGAGTGCTATACGCTTGTCAAATGTTGATGAAATATAACTGAATCCATGATGAATCTAAGACGGAAAGCTCTCCAGCTCCTGGTTGTTTCACACTGTTGGAAAATTATTATTATACCATGAAAAAAAGCTTTGGGGATTTATTTCCCCTGTCGCAGTGTGCATTCCAATAAGCACGTCTTATAAATCTTGCCTTATTTGATGTATATTCTGCCAAACAATTTCCAGAATGATGCTGGTCTTGATCTTGCAGGCCATCCTTTCACTGTGATATACTATTTCTATAATTGGGGATCTACTAAATCTCATGCTATGGTGCCGTGTTATGTGTTTTTGCACCATTTGTCGTAGTGTGTTTTCCATTTTCCTCATAAAGACCTTGATGGGTAGAAATTTTGCCTTTGAGTTTGACAAACTTGCACAAGCTAGATATTTTTTTTCTCGATTAATCAATGAACCATTAGAAAACAGTGTCCAAGAGCCCAAGTTGGTGTCATCAAAAGTATTACTTTATCCATAAACATAGAAACATGTCATGACATAGACTAACATATCATGATTATAGTTATATTACCATCCGTCACTTTATTGTCTCTCATTAACATGACATCCATCAGCTCCGAGATGTGCATTTAGAAACTGATGTGAATTAAATTAAACCTGGCACAGCGGGGGCTGTCCACCTCTTCATTCAGCCAGTGACTCATGTGGAGGTAACTTTCTCACACAGTATCAAAAGTATTACACCAACTGATCTGTTGGTTTCTTTAGATTGGGTTTGCATTGATTAGTCGGCCTTCATCTGCCAGCACTGCTCCTCCGACTGATTGAGTCTGTATGTAGCGGAGGGTGTGTTTAACAGATTTTGTTCATCAGGCTCAAGCAGGACCCAGAGTATTAATCAGATGAGAGTAAGCAAGCAGTGCAGCAAGCTAGAAAGGATTGCCGAGTTTCATCAAAACCACACAAGCAACTGCGGTTTGTACAAGGAGACGGGGGAGTCGCCTTAATAGCAGACAGTCAGACTTAATAAAGAAAGATTGCCATAAGAATCATAAGAGCAATATCCCTGCTTGTGCAGCCGACATAGTTATTCAGCCCCCTCTGTCAGACACACAGGGTTTTGTTACAGTCATAATTTACACTAATGCACTGACACCTCAACCAGTAGCCAGTCATTTGGAGCCTCTGCCATCTGTCACATGGGAAATAATGTACACCTTTCTCTCCTCCCAGCCTAAGCTTGTTTTTCAAGGTTGCAGTCTGTTTGTGTCTCCTTGCTCCTTCACCACAAGGATGACTGCTGTACTGCTGATGGTGGTCCAAGCACTCAACAACAGCAGCACAGTCAGCAATTTCACAGGGCTATAGCTACCGCGCAACGCTCATATGGCATATTGTGATCCCGGAGTCCTGAACATGTTGAAGTCATGTGGCTTCATGCATGCAGTTATGGTTTAATGTACACAAGACGAGGAGCAAGACAAGCTACTCGATAATGAATAATCAAGAAGGTGGGAAACAGGGTTAAAATGCTTGGAAAATATTTCATGTGGCACATAATGGAAATCGACTGTATTTTGTATAAAGCAACGCTGCATGGAGTAGACACGGTTTAAAAGTTTAAAGTTACTAACTACGTTACAAAGACTTTACATGATGAGATTATAAAATACAACACATCTGGCTTCTTTCATGAATTGAAATGTATGAAATATTGAGAGTATGTCTGGAGATGAAGTCTCTGTGATTCTTTTCCCAACAGGACAATAAGGTTAATCTTTTCTTATCTCAAAGATGAACCCAGTGGTTTCCAACCTTTTCAGCTTGTGACACTTATAAGCCGTGTCTGTGAGTTCAGTTCCCCTAAAGAGGCAGTTCCCCTATAAACTTCTCTGTCGGTGTCATTTGAATATCAGGATTAGGATTCGTCGGCTTGTCCCATAGGTAAACCTTTTTTAAAGGTTCTACCTAGAAACCAACATAAAGGGTTATATCCAGAGACATCTGTGAGAGGTTTTACAGATAGCCCTTTTGTGGTTTGATAGTATACCCAGAACCCTTTCCACCTGAAGGTGCTAACAAGGACCCATCCAGGGGGTTTCTACTGAGCAATGGGTCATAATTCTCTCCACATCCCAAAGATACTTCTCCACTCTCTCTTTACCAGATTGACCTGATGCCACAGCAACCACAACCAGCATCTTCTAAACCTCATCTAGAGGGTCAGGGCTGATGTGGTGCAGAGCAACCCACAACAATCATGGCTCACAGTCAGTTTGTAATGCTTTCAACAATACTTGAAGACCTATTTCTTCCAAAACAATTTAATTTAAATTTCATTATATCAAATATAAACTTATCAGTCACAGGGGACCTTTTACTGCACAACCAGCACTCGGTGTCTCTTCCACCACTGCTTAAAAAGAAATAAACCCAAAGAAGTCATGTTTTTATGATTGCAGCAACCGAAGTAGAATCAATGTTTGATTAATGGTCACATAAATCTAAGGAGAATAAACCTGTGTGCTCTATTATGACAGCTGTTTTATTCCTTCTTTTTTCAGTCCCTTTAACTGTACTATCTCCAAGACGCCCTCTCCCCGACTACTGAAAGAGATCATTCCTCCCTCTCTCTCCGTCCTCATTATACGAAAACTGTTATACTTGGCATCAGAACTAACTGCTCGGCTTCTACTAAGAGCTACAAAGAAAAGCAGAAGTGGGTCATGTGCTGCAACAGAGGAATCGAGGGGAAGAACACAAACACTGGTTGTGTAGAATGAAAGGAGAGGAAGGAGGTAACGGCACGAGCTCTAAACCAGGAGGAGGAACGTAACGGCACGAGCTCTAAACCAGGAGGAGGAACGTAACGGCACGAATACTAAACCAGGAGGAGGAACGTAACGGCACGAATACTAAACCAGGAGGAGGAACGTAACGGCACGAATACTAAACCAGGAGGAGGAACGTAACGGCAC